AGAATAAATTCTACAAGGCCCTCACTCAACTACTCCCAAGAGCTCACTCAACGGATATCTTGGTAGTCACTGGAAACTTCCATACTCGAGTAGGATCCCTGGACGAAGCAGAAAGTCTTCTTGGCGAACCAAATGCAATCCCAGCCAACCGAACGACCAACGGAGATCAACTACTTCAACGCTGCGTGATAAATGACCGCAAAACAGCAACGCATCTTCTCAATTTCTTTGCAGCCTTAGACCACAAAAATTCACCATTTTCTCTTCGACTCTACTTTCAACTTTCCTGGCTTTCTAATATTCTTCATCCAAGTGGGTAGCCAAAAGACAGCAACCAAAACCGGAGAACGAAAGTGCATAGTTAATGGTCGTACAAACTGAACTGAACTTAAACTCTGGTGCTGCTTTTCCCTGATAAGTATACCCGAGAAATTTATTTCAATATAATGATTCCTTTAGACTAAAAGCCGAAGCCGAGTCACAGCTTACGGGACTTACTCGCACGAGTTCACTATAGAAAGTGGCGTTCATCAGGGCTGCCCTCTTTCTCCTTTTCTATTCATCTTTGTTATAGATCGGATTCTTCAAACAGCCCTATCCTCGTGAGAGGATGGCGTTATCGCGTTGCTTCCAGGTGGTAGACTGTTGATTTGGAGTATGCAGACGACATTGTGCTGCCAAACGAAGATGCAGGTCAGTTGAAAACCTTTATGGATAGTTTGGGCGCTAGTTTAGCCATGTTCGGTATGCCTTTTGCAACGTAAAAGTGTAAAATCCTGGTACGTAACTGGGTTGGTCGAGCACCTAGCCTCACGTTAACTGGGAAAGTAAAAGAACAAGTGGATAAGTTTTGTTACTTGGGCAGCTATATCTCACCCGGTGGACGCATCACGAATGAAGTGTCAGCTGGTAGACAGAAGGTTCGACCGGCATAGGGTAACTTTAGAAATCTGTGGCGCCGTCGCGACATCCGGATGTCTCTTAAGGGTCGAGTGTATGGTGCGGCTTTTCGGCCNAAGGTTCGACCGGCATAGGGTAACTTTAGAAATCTGTGGCGCCGTCGCGACATCCGGATGTCTCTTAAGGGTCGAGTGTATGGTGCGGCTGTTCGGCCGGTTCTGCTGTATTGCGCAAAAACTGTCATTACGGGAACAGGATAAAAGTAGATTGTCGGTGTTTGAACACCGTTATCTACGCAGTACTGAACGAGTCTGGTGGGGTATCCGAACAAGCAATTTTGCGGCGTCGAGTTTTACATGTACCACCAAATAACTTATCATGGTGCGCGATGCTTGCCGAGGTAGGAAGCTGATGCGAAAAGATCAAGGGCGGTCAAACTTAGACCTGGCATGAGGGTATGGAAACCTTGACCAGAAGACTCGATCATATAGGTCGCTTTAGGCTCCCTAGCTGGTGACCCCGGGATCATCTCATCATTAATTACAGATACAGAGTGATACGGCTGTGTCGTGAATAGCGGTGCTTGTACATCTCAATTTCTTTACAACCTTATTCCACTGAAATCCTCCATTTTATCCTCGACTCTACGGCGTCCGAATGGGCAGTCAACAGACGGTAACCAAAACCGGCGCGCAAAATTCCATGGTTAATGGTTGTAAAACCCGAGATTGAGTTTTGGTGAACTAATTTGAAGATCAGTTTCAGGTTCATGTTAAGCAACCATTAAGTATGCATTTCCGTGCGTCGCTTTTGATTGCTGTCTTTTGACTGCCCATTGGGGTGAAAAACAGAACGAAAACAGGAAGGTTGAATGTAGGATCGAAGAGAAAATTGAAAAGTTCAGTGAACTGAGAAATTGAGAAGATGCAAGGACGCCACTGTTTACGACACCCAACCATATCACTCAGTGTCTGTAACAATCGGTTACGACCAGCCCGATGTCCCCATCCAGGAAGCCTAACGGGACCCAGACGACCCAGACTCTTGGTAAGGGTTTTCATACCCTCGTGCCAGGTCTTAGCTTGACCACCCTTACTCTTTTTCCATCCACTACCTGTCTCGGTGAACATCGCTCGCCGTGGCAACCTATTTGGTGACATGCACAATTTTTTGTAGCAAAAAGACTGCTAGTGTGACTCAAATATAATACGGTCGCCTGTGCCATAATTCGAGGCTTTACGTGGTCTGCTTCAAACTAAACCACCCATGTGTGCAATGGGGTCACGAAGTAAAACATGATAGCCTATAGCTTGTAACAAAACCCGTGTGATACTCCGTTCCTTACATCTCTATTGCATCGACAAGAGCGATTAACAATCATTATTTGGGTGTGAAGGGAAATTACATAAATGTCTTTATAAAAGATTAAACTGGGGCAGATGTGTCTAACGTAATGATATTTTAATTTTATTTTTCTGATCCATTCAAAGACGGTCCCTGTTTATAACGCGCGAAAGAAATCAACATTTCTTGTTGATTCCGAAGAACCGCAGCTGAACCCGTGAAACCGGTTGTGCCACTTACTCAATCGATTCATCCAATTTGTTCTGTCATTAACCCGCATTTTGATGATGCGGCTTTATGTTACTTTTTCCTATCTAAATGAGCAACCAATGGGGAACATTTTACGAGTGAAACAAGTCTTACCAATATCCGAAGAAAGAACAACATTGCACAAGCATGACTGTCCCGAAGTTAAACACATCCAAATCAGGTGCCTATATTACTGAGGGACAAACGTAGTGATAATAGTCCCTCAATTACCATTTGCTCGAGATACAACGATTGGAAAGCTTAAAAGAATCTGGTCCAGATTTTGATGGCACTTGCCAGGTTATGTTGGGACCAACCCTGACATTATTCCACCAGCCATCTGCTTCGCTAAACGGTTTAGATGATCTATCCGATGCACATGCATCAGTCACAGTGGTTAAGGCACTGCGTCAGAGTATGATTGCTATTATCGGCTGACGTTCGACTAGTCCTGTTACTGTTTATCCAGTTCTCCCATCACACTGCTGCTATGGTCTATGAACAGCGGAGTTCGCACACGTATAGACTCCATCAATCTACTCGTAAATATCATGCTCCCGCACTATTTAGCGAAATTAGACGGACTGTGGAAGCATACGCATGATTATCAGATACACTTCTACAGCTCGAGACGACAGTACAAACAAACATAAGTGAATTGTTTCAATGTCGCGTAAGTATTCCGAGATCATGCAAGAATCACATGGGTCTTAGAAATCAAAATAAACAGATATTCGTGACTGTTTAACATCCTAACTGAAAAAGGGTTCGGTTAACCCGGTAGTATCGCTTGCTTGAACAAACCATTGATGGATTTCTATGCCATGCTTGTTTTGGCACAAATAAACATCAAAAAGTGGGCGGCGAAAAAAATGGTGGAACGTTTATTTTTTTATACAGGTTATTGCACCACGCTTGGTTTGGCACAGTCTGGCGTCAGACGTGTGTGTTTGTGTTTCGCCGTACATATATATATATATATATATATATATATATATATACTAAAATAAATAGTATATGAATGACTGGATAAAATTTCCCTGGAAGCACACGACCAATTTCGCGGTTCTTGCCGCTCGTCTGTCATGCGTAACCGGTAATCTTTTGCCAGTTCATTCATATACTTGTACCCATGAAGTGTATTTTTTGGTCACGACAACCTTGTTTGCAACACCGGGTGACCATTGGATAGATAGCTCTTTCAGGGCCAATCTATTGAAGAATCAATGCTATGATACGATGTTTTGTAAGTAGGTTAGATGCTACTAACCGCAACAAACGTGACCTGATTGTCATTGTAGAATGTTTTACAATAAGTAGTATGTTGCTAAATTTCCCTTATTTGTTTGATTTTGTAGCGCATCATCGTTTATTTTTGCCAAGCAATTTTCACAAAATGTGATTGTGTAGCACCTGAATGTTCATACCTTATGGGGCGAATTAAAGCCGCTTTTTGACTTGACTTGACTAAGCAGGCCATGATTACAAAAAATATAACATGGGGAAAAAATGTCTCATAAACAATGCACGATTATTTATTGTTTCGGTCAACCAAGAGTTTTTATTTAGCGTACAAAAAATCGGAGAGAGAAGGAAGAACCCATTGAGATGGCATAAAACAGTTACTTTGCTGGGTTTCGATCAATCACCCGCCCCCGGGTCGGTCAGGTGACGGAACAACCCTATGAGATCGAACACAATTCGGTTTCGCAGGAAACCCGATGTGAGAAGTGAATGGTCAAAATGGATACATGCAAGAGCACGTACACGCAAAACTTGTGGAATGGGACTGAGAATCCGACGGGGAGTGGGGGACAAACTGTAAACCGGGTATCATTTGTGCCACAGTAGATAGGTAGGAACGATCGACGGGAGAACAAAGTAAGAAATACGGAAGAACGGGATGGTGGAAAATGCTCATGGTGTGAGGGAAAGAGAACGGGGGGGCGATCAGTTACAAGTGCAATGAGTTAAGAATGCGCGACAGCGATTCAAGTCGATATGACAACAAGTTCGGGTTACCAATTGACACGTAAGAGATACGAATGACAACCAAAATGGGTTTCAGCTGAACACTGGCACAGCAACCGGATGTTGGAAAAGACAAAGATAACCACATTGCACACTTTTCTAGTCAAATGATTGATGTGTTTAGACAGGGAGGGGGAAGCAAGGGAAAGAACAGGCAACCTGTCGATTGTTTACTCACTTAGACTGTGAGGCTGCTTGGGATCAGACCTTGGTCATGCATGAAACAAACAACACGACGAGGATCACCTGGCCTGATGCGCAGTACCTGTGCGAAACAGGCTAAATGATACATGTGAAAATGTCGTATTTTAGTGTAGGGCACAAAGTTGATCTGATGAGCAAGCCTATGGCTGATTGAGTAAGAGGACGGTGCGAGGGTCGAGATAATGAAGCACAATAAACAGAAACAATATACACAATAGTGGTCTCCAGCTAAACACGTGACACAGACCAAACAGTCACGCGTGCCAGGCCACTTATGAATCGACTGGAGTATCGCGTTTGTCACCCTGATTTGGGTTGGATGTATCTTTGGCTAACTTGCCGCCGGTCTCGTCATCGTCATCCTCATCGTCTTGATTGACAAAACCGGGCCATTCTGTAAACTCATCCGACTCTTCGTAGTCCGAATTCTCCGCGATGCGGTGGATACCGGCACGAAGGAACGGTGTACCCTGACCACGGCCTATCCAGTTCAAAGATGAAATCAGTGAGAGTGGATAAAACGGTCAACTAAGAGGAGTAACACTAAAGTAACCACACGAACTCTCTATAACTAATGCACTTTACCACGAAAGGAAGAGCACTAAAACTTCTGATCATCCAAACGTGAATAAAACTGAAATGGGGCATTGTTCTATTAAAATAAAGCCAAGCGAATGAAGCTGTCACAAAGGTTTCTCTAAATCCGACAATAAAGGCAATGTGACGGACAAACGTATTTTACTGGATTATACCAGCATTCAGTACCCCCGTTTATTTTTTTATTACACACACTTGCGTGATGAATAGTAGACGGGTTGCGTCCCATAGGCACGAAGGTGTGTTGTTTAGTGAAGTGTCCACAGGTTTGCAGAAAGCTCGATTAGCATTTGTCAACTCGAGACATCTGTGGCGCCGTCACGACATCCGGCTGTCTGTGAAGAGTCGACCGTATGCCCCGGCAGTTTGATCGGTTCCGCTATACGGTGCAGAGACTTGGCCATTACGGGAACAAGATAAAAATAAATTATCGGTGTTCGAACATCGCTATCTACGTAGCATTGCACGAGTCTGGTGGGGCATCCGGACACGCAATGCTGAGGTTAGGCGAAGAGTTTTAGGTAGTCGCGGTCGTCCACTGGAACAAGTAGTCGACCGTCATAGACTACGCTGGTTGGGA